GGTTGGAAAAGCCCTTTAAGATCATCGAGTCCAACCTTTAACCTAACCCTGACATCCCACCACTAAACCATGTCCCTAAGCACCTCATCTCTCCTTCTTTTAAATACCTCCAGGGATGGGGACTCGACCACCTCCCTGGGCAGCCCATTCCAGAGCCTGACAACCCTTTCTGTGAAGAAGTTTTTCCTAATGTCTAGCCTAAACCTGCCCTGGTGCAACTTCAAACCATTCCCCCTCATCCTATCAGCATGGGGTGACCTGGGGTGTTCCCAAGCACAGGGCATAAAGCAAGTACCGCACTCCAGTAATCGTTAGGGGACCTTACCCAGTTGGACAAAACTTAAGAGGAACATGAAGGCGGTTCAGTATTTGCTCGGGACTGATGCAAGCCCTTGCTCACCTCAACATCAGGTGACATGAAACTGCCATGTTGCTGCTCTTCCACTTCTCACGTCCTTCCCAGAGCACCCAACATACTGGGCTGCATCCAGCCCAGAGCTCGCCTCTCTGCTGTGGCGGCTGTAGAAAAGCTAAATGTTTTCTCACTCACGTAACAGTGGGATCTCTGCTGAGTCTGCAGATAACCAGCGAAGGAAAGGGAGCATCAGAGTATTTATCTGACAAGGAAGTGATTATGCCCCATTTGATCCTCAATTTTACAGCACAGATTTATTACACAAGGTCACATTCACCAAGAGCACAACTCCGCTGGAGGTAATCTCTCCTTACACCTGGGATAAATTTGATCCTTGGTTCAGGGACAGATCCACGGCAGGGCAAGTTTTCCTAGAGATTATCTACTAGCCACCACTCAGACCTTCTAAGCATTTCTGCATTTTCACCATTACACATCACATCAGTCCGTAGAAACTACAACATAAAAGATCTGCCCCATGGAATTGTGCTGGTAGGAAACTGGACAACCTTGTCTGGTCCCAGGATCCAGGCAACAGCTCATTTAAAAAAAAAAAAAGAAAAAAAAAAGTGAATAGCACCTCTCTAACAAGCAGCAATAATTTATATTTAAATATAACAGCCTGTGTCAACCTCTTGCTGGGTTATACTACAACACAGTCCCAGCTTACACTGCAATTTCATCTCTTTAGTCCCAATAGTTTTAGTCACAATATTTTGTAGAGGTTTATAGTGAGGTTATTCTTGCTCATACATTTTCTCCCAGCCATCAGAACAGAATTGCTTTCAAAGTCTTGTATAAGTGGATCAGTTTGAATTTTCCAATTGGCTTGGTCTATTTTCCTACCTGTTGTGGGTAGTAATGAAGGCTTGCTTTACTCCACACTTTTGCTATATTTCTTTCCAAGAGGAATTCCAACTAAACAAAACTGTATTTTGGGTTTTTTTTAACTTCCTTTTCCTCCTGGAAATTTCTGCAAAACAGATCCTTTTCAAAATATAGGCCATTCACTGTGTCCCTGACCCCTCAGTACTTATGCTGGCAGTCACTGCACTTAACTGCACTGCTATTAAAAATAAATATATTTGTACCTGTGCATTTACCCTTGCATGCCCTCCCCATGTGCACTCAGTTCTTTCACAGTTAACAATTTAAGACACATGGTTTTCACTAGTTTTCTGGAAATGACCCCTCTTCCTTACAATGTAGATTTTCTTCCAGTAAGCTTCTTGTTGGACACAGAAGTTGTTAATTTTGCTAATTAGTCCAGCAGTTAGCTATGCAAATCCATATGGCTTAGCCTCATTACATAGGTGCATAACGATGCTGCCTGTTCTCACCGCACATCCCAATGTTCCGGCACATTACCCTGATGTTACTGAAATGCCCAGTGGCACCCTTCTATCACCCCCGACCTGTGCAAGGGCCTTCATCCCCTCAGATAGCCATGAGCTCATGCTCACTGCCAGGAGGATGAGGAAGCAGGGGACAGCCGTGTCCTCCAGTTCTCTGCCACCATCCTTCCTTGATCAAGGGGGTTCAAGAGGTTGCAGAACACCTCCTGGGAGATGCTAGAGGAGGAAGCAGTGGCCATTGCCATTCAGAAACACTCATTACTAACAGGCATAGAATAATCTGCTCACATATTAGCAGGGCTGAGGCCATCTGTCCTGACCTCTGTGCTATGTTAGGGTACCAACTTTACTGCTTGGCTGAGTCATCACTCATGAAAGATTAATACATCCTTATCACAGGACAAGAATCAGTATCTGCCAACCCCAGCAACTTCCCAGGCAGAAGGATTTATACAGACAGTCCCATCTAGGGTGCTGCAGGAGGCACTGGCAGATAAAGACCCTGGGAATGTGACCATTCCCGTCCATCCCACCCCACAGCATCCCAGCTGGTCACAGGGACACAGGCGGCACGTTGTTCCTCCCTGACAGGTTTGAAGATACATCAGGCTGTTCATCCCCTACCACCCATCATTCACAACAGGTTTGTCACCACTGGCCTCCTGGGCTACACGCAGAGTCTGTCACCAGGCTCACTCCCTGCCACACAAGCTGCACTCCTGTCATGAGCATCCTCCATTAATCCATGTAGTCCACAGCATGCCACGACTGGGACATCTCAGAAGCACCGCTATGAATTTCAACAAAATCATGCAGCGCTGCAGTAAGACAGATAATTTCTAATTACTTTGAAACGAATTAGTCACACATGTCCTAGCACCTTTCCTGTTAGAAGGGAAGTGCTTCATTCCCGTGAGGCTGGCAGGAACAGGACTGTGGTCTGGGATAATTCTCAAAATGCTCCTAGGAGTCCTTGGAGAGCATCTCTACCACCACCACAAAGCTCCCTCATGCTTAAAGATTGTTTCAAACCTCGCACGTTGCAAATGGAAAATAATGCTGCAACGGCTCTGGATGACAAGGTGGACTAAAACCTTAAGAAATCATCTCTGTGCAGAGCTGTGAACTCGTAGGAGCTAAAGCACAAT